GAGCCAACCTCCCAGACCTAGGGACACGTGTGCAGCAGTGAGGCCGTGTGGCCGACCAGCTCTTTCTGCTGCTTCCTGCGCCGGGTGGGTGTGGAGGCAGGACCCTGGGAGCCCCAGCGCTCTCTGTGTGACCCTCCCCCCTCAGGCCCACACCGGTCTCTACCGAGGAGGAACAGGTCATGGCAGGCGTCCTCATTAGCTACTAATTGCAGCCCGTTCCGGCCTCCCCGGGCTGTTGCCAGATTACACCTGTTGACAAGATGTGGCGTCCCCAGCGGGAAGGCGCGTGTGCTGATTATGCCGCTAATGATGTGTTCATTGCCCACGGTAATTTCCTTCAACAAATAAAACGCTGTGTCTGCTCAGCCTAGGGACACTTCTGGCTTCATGAGGAGCCCGGCGTGCACCTGAGGGTGGGGAGGGCTGGTGGGCTCCGAACGGGACACCTCAGGCCACCAGGGAAGTGTCCCGATCCAAGCACTGGACGAACTGCCCGCAGCACCTGCGTGTGCTAAGAGAGACTGCTTTCTCTCTCGATTCTGAGCATAAGGGGCGCTGGGTCCCACCCTGACGCAGACCCTCCCCGAGTGGGCTCTTCCTTTACCCTCCCTCCTCACACCCCAGCCCAGGGCCCAGAGAGCCTCCCAGGTGAGTGGAAGGTTTGCAGGGACTGGCCTGGAAGGCTGTGCCCCCACACCCACCGAGACAGGGCAGGAGAGCCATGATCCTCAGGGACCTGGGCTGATTTACTCAGAAACTCCTGAGCACGAAGGCCCTCACGTGGGAAGGAGACCCCTCAGTGGCCGCCCAGGCCCACAAACAAAATAGTCCCCAGTTCACAAAAAGCACGAGAGCAGATTCCAAAGGCCAGAACCACTTGTTTGGGTGGGAGGCCGGCCTCGTTCTACCTGACCCCCCTCCCTATCAGGCAGGGGCTCCGCTGTACAGGGAGCCCCTCCGTGGGCCCTGTTTGCCCCTCCCCACCCCGGTGCCCGATGAGGACGCCAGGGCCTCTGCACCAGCCACAAGTGTCCGGGTGGGTCCGGTGGGCAGACGGACAGCACAAGCACACGGGCCGCCCCCGGGCACACGCTCCTCCTCCTACAGCCATGCGGAGAAGGGGGAGCGGACCCCACTTCCCCTTTCCGACATCTTGGGGGGCCTTGATGCACAAAACAGTAACCCTGGAGAAGGCAGTGTTTTGAAATTACATTTTAAGAGAAAGTTAAAAAAAAAAATGTAAGTGTTTATTTAGACAACCTCCACACCCAACATGGGGCTCAAACTCACAACCCCGAGATTAAGAGTTGCACGCTCTTCTGAGCCAGCCAGGGGCCCCTAAAATTTTTTTGGAAAAGACAAAGGCCGTTTACTTTTCCTGACCCTAGGTGGATGTATTCCTACAGCACACAGGCTGTCTCTCCCCGCCCCTCCAAGACCCTGCGGGACCAACCCTGGCTTTGCAGCACAGCAGGCGTGGTCCGCCCCAGCCTCGCACCCCAGGGCCAGCGCAGTCATATGACCTGTGAGATGCATCACGTTATGCAGCTGTCCTCTGACCCTTGAGGGTCCCACAAAAGTTGGACATGAGGGCTCTGGCGGGTTGAACAGTGCCCCCCAAATAACATGTGCCCCAAACCCGTAAATGGGGCCTCGCTTGGAAATCGGGTCCTTGCTGAGGGTTAAGCTGAGGGTTTCGAGAGGATATCATGCTGGGAGGTAGGTTGGGCCCTGAATCCAGTGACAAGTGTCAGGAGAAGACACACAGGGTCCATGTGCTGATGAGGCAGATGCTGGGGAGATGCTGTCTTGTGCCCAGGGCTCCCCAGGGCCACCAGGAGCTGGGCCTGCTGACACCTTGGCCTCAGACTTCTGGCCTCAAGAACTGAGAGCGTGGGGACGCCTGTGGGGCTCAGTCGGTTGAGCGACTGTGGGAAACAGAACACCACAATAACCACAGGGGCATATTCGTTCAGGCTCCAAGATCTCTGAGAAAGCTGGAGATCATAGGGTTAAAAATAAGGCGAAAGGAATGGAGCGAAATGCCCTCGGGAAATGTGGCCTGTTCTCTAGTAGGCAGACAAGGATGTTTTGCTTAAAGGAAGCCAGCTGTAAATAACACAGCGTGTTCACTCCCCTCTTTGTTTCTGATCCTGCCATAAAGATTCCTATCATATCCTATGTATCTGCAAGAAAGCCTTTGCACGCAACGGCAACGTACGTTTGTGCTTTAGCTGAACCACATGTACTTTGTTATGCCTTACTAACCTTCTACAGTTAATCGTCGTGGATCTGTAGCTCTGTAAAAGTATAAAAGAAGATGTACAATAAACCTCAGGGCCTCGGGCGGTTGGCTCGGGGTCCCCTGTGCCTCGCTATACTGTCGTCTTTTTCTCGGCTCTTTCACCGCCCCAGGTCCACGGCCCAAAGAGGTCGACAAGCGACCAGCTCTGATCTCAGCTCAGGTCATGATCTCACAGTTCGTGGGATCGAGCCCTGTGTCGGGCTCCGTGCTCACAGCACGGAGCCTTCTTGGGATTCTCTATCTCATACACACAATAAATAAACATTTCAAAAAGAAAGAAAGAAAAAAACTAAGAGAATAAACTTCTGTTGTTCTAAACCCCCCAGTCGTGGTCCTTTGTTGTAGCTGCCTGGATACTAACGTCAGGCGGGTTCCTCAGGCGGTGAAACTCTGATGTGCGTCTGCTCCCACCCAAAGATCTGGTGGCCAGCTTTGGGCAAAGGGGGTCCTGGGGACACATCCAGAGCAGAGGCCAAGCTCTGTACCTGTCCCAGCTCAGGGAGAGGGGTGCCGACACCCAGGCACAGCATCGCGGCCGCTGCCCAGGCTGGCTACGGGGCCCACGGCCTCTCAAGTCCTCAGCTGGCCCTCAGTTTCCCCCACGTGTGTAAACCCCGGCACACGGGAAGCGTGCAGTAAATACTAATGATGATGAAAGAATCTGCAGGTGTGAGAGCAGATGCACAGAGGCGGTGCACGAAGCGTCTGCTCAAGAGCCCCAGGTCTCCAGGGACGGGGCTGCGATTGAGTAAAAGACCCTCGAGGGGCCCTTGTTGTGTGAGGGTGTGGGTGATATCAGAGATCCCCAGTCAGGTTGTCTGAACCAGAAACCGTCGCCTAGGTACGGCATGGGGACGCTGGGACCGATGGTTCGATGCTAGGCCAACCTGGGTGCACTCAGTGTCCGGACCTCTTGAAGCTCCCCTGGGGCAGCCAGTTTTATTGAGATGTAGATGCACATGCCATAAAATCTGCCCACTTAAAGGGTGCAGTTCAGTGATTTTTGACATATTACATTAGTAGTTTTCAAATTGTGGTACCATACCTACAACAAAAGTTGCCATAGCAACCCTTTTTACGTGGCATTAGTTACAGTGTTGTGCAAAGATTACCTTGCTTTCCAAAACTTCCTCCTCGCCTCACCCTGAAGCCTCCTTCGGGCCCCTGGCAACCTCCAATCTACTTAACGTCCCTGTGGAGTTGCCTATTTCACGGGCTTCATAGAAATGGAATCCTACGATAGGTGGCCTTTGGCTTCTCTCGCCGAGCATCATGTCACCAGGGCTCATCTACACGGCTTTACAGCTGAGTCCTCGCCCGTCTACCCACTCATCTGCCAATGGACGCGTGGGCTCTTCCACTTTCGTCCACCCCCACCCTTTGCTCCACTTGGTTCGCTCCCACAGACTTGGGTTCCAGGAGAAGGAGGCAGGAAGCCGCCCTGCAGGGACCCCGGCTCTGCACACCTACTGGCTGCAGCCCCCCTTCCCGGCGTCGGGAGAACCCTCCCTGTCCCCCCAGCCTCAGCCAGGGCCCCTCCCGTGTAAATCCTCTCCACCACTCCTAACGGGCCCTCATTCCTGGCCCGCATCTCAATGCCATTGTTACTCTCACGAGTCTTTTGTAAACCTACTCTGGGGCATTTCGGTGAAACTAAGGTTGGTTGGGGCTCGCCCACTTCTAAGAATCACTTAGGATTGTTCAGGTTTCAGGAACCGTATCTCAGACCTCGGTCAGGTATTGTCGGGACAGGGGACGGGTGGCGCCTGGGGGCCTGGAAGCGGAGCTCTCGTAGCTGCTACGGAAAGCCTGCCCCAGCTGTTGTAGAAGAAAGTCCTGTCTTGGCAGCCAAGAGGAGCAGCTGCAGGGGCCCGAGGACGCTGCCCCCGCCGGTGGACCTTGGGTCCCTGGGCCTCGAGGAAAACCCACAGGCAGGTGTGGGAGTCAGCAGCACTCAAGTCCACACTGGGCTAAGTACTGCAAGGAGACCGGGAGCACAGGCCAGGCTGGGCCCTCAGAAACACGAGATGAACACCGGGACGTGCCAGACTCAACTCCTGCAGGTGTCTGGAAAGCCCCACTAAAAAGGGGTCAGTAGTGACAATAAAACTGGACTCGACACGATTTATAACGGCCCAGGGCCCGAGCCTGGCCAGCAGCAGTCCCGCGTCGCGCTACCAAACCTTACAGGGAAACGGCGCTTTCCCAAGCTGGTCTCCAAAATGACAGAAGAGGGTGTCGGAGCCCGTGAGAGAAGCTCCGCACGGAGCCGCCGAGTTGTGGGGAGCGCTGCCCGCCCTGTCACTCGCTCTGCAACAGGAACTGCACGTCCAGGGGGGGGCAGGCGCCCTTCTGGGGTCTCGAGCGCCTCTGCGACCAAGTATAGCAAGGCCGCTGCCTCTGCAAGCAAGCTCCCAGGGCTAGGACTCAGGGCCGCATATCCCGCCGGCAGTGAGCCCTGGGTGAGGGAGGCAACACTGTGGTCCTGGCGGCCCCTCCGCCCACGCTCAGGAGGCCGGGAAGGTGACACGCTCCCCCGCGGCACGGGCCCCGCCGGCAGGGGGCGCGCGGCCCGGGGGGACGCGGATGCGCATGCGCCAGACGGGTCGCTTTCCGGCAGCGTGGCGGAACAGTCCCGCAGTTTCGCGCCGCTTGGCGACGTTGGCGCCCCGCGCCCAGCCGCAGTACGGCCGCCATGGCGTCGCCCTTCAGCGGGGTGCTGCAGCTAACAGACCTGGATGACTTCATCGGACCGTCTCAGGTAGGGCGGCCCGGGTGGGTGGCGGCCGTGCCTGGCGGGGGGTGGGGGGGGACTCCCCGGACTCCCCTCCGCTCGGTTTCTTTCCCTGAAAAACGAGATCGGAACCCAGACTCCCCGCCCGCGTCACCCTGGGCCTCTGGCGCTCGGGCTAGCTTCCTACCGATGGGGACCCGAGGCCAGGGATGGAGGCGCCCCGAGCCGGGTTCCAGTGCCGCGAGGCGAGGCGAGGCCAGGTCACCAGCCCGCACCGCCCAATAGGACAAGTAGTTTCGGGTCATCACGCTGTCCTCGGCGCGACTGGGGGACGGGAGTGCCGAGTGGGCAGCAGGAATCGGGAGGGAGCCGGGCAGTGGCGGCTCAGGACCGAGGCCGGACGAACCTGTCCGCTTACTCTGGTAGACGGCGGGGAATGTCCCATCTCAGTTTGGAAGGCAGGGGAGTAGGTCCCTTGGAATCACCTACCGTGACTGGGGCGGGGGGCGGTGGTCGTCCTAGGTGCTGGTTTGGGGAGGAAGACAGAGCTTGCCCCTAAAGGGGACAGGTCAGGTACACTTGAAAGCGGGAGGCGGCCTTCTCTGGTGTAGCTGCCTATCAACTGCACTGGCTGCGCAGGACACACAGGGGCTGGGAGGGGGAGGGCATGGGGCTGGTCACAGCTCCGAGGTCAGGGATGAGCTTGGACAGGGCCC